CAGCGCGGCTGCCATGTGATGTTCTGGGCAACCAGGGTCTGAGGCAGTCTGTCCCTGCAGGCGCGGACTCCGCCGGCCCCTGGAGCGGGCGCGGTTCGCCCGCGTGGACTGGGAGCGGTTCGCGGCGCCTCAGGTGCTGGGCTACGGCCTGGGGCAGCCCGGCGCGCCACCCCGCTCAGGCACCACCTGGGGCTGGACCAGAGGTGAGCGCTGCCCCGACAAGTGGTTCATCCTTTGGCAGGTCGCCGTTGTTCGCCCATCAGGTCCGCCCCTGCTACCACGGTTGACGCTCGCATCTTTGTGCCCCCGTCCCCCGTGACGAATAAGCTGCCCGCGCTGTGCGCCGACGACTTGGTTGTCTCGCTTCCCACGGCGGGCGCCGCCTTCGAGCTTGTTACTGCACAAGTGGTTTATCCTTTGGCAGTGCTTCTCGGCCCTCCAGCAGGGTGGTCCGTGGTGCTCGACCAGCGCGTGCAGCTGATTCCCCCGGCTTTCAGAGTCAGGCAGCTGCAGGTTGTGAACTCGGACGACACGGCCGTCGTTTCCATGCATAGGTCGGTCGCTCATGGCCGAGTACTTCCGGGAGTTCATGTGAGTGAGGCGTTCCTCGGTCCCCCCCTCTTCTATCCTCGCGTGCCCTCGCCCCCGCCGCCTTTCCGCGCGCCTTCGCTTCCTCGTCATGTTGGGCGGTGCGGCCTCACTGGCCCCTCCGTGCTGCCTCAGCGCGGCGTGACCCACGCCCTTACGCGCTGGTCGGTACGGACTGAGCTGGCGCCACTGTGCGACTTCTCCGCCGTCCGTCTCTTTCTGATGCCTGCGTCCCCGCTTCAGGGTCGCCTGCGTCTTAATGGGGGGAATTTTGTCCCTGGCACGTGCACTAGCTGCGTCGGCCTATGCGCCGCCGCAGCTAATTATTTCGCCCTGTGCCCCAGCCGAGACCGTCCCGCTTCCTGGATCTGCCCTTGGAGCCGCCAATCAAAAAAATATCCCCACCAGCCCATCCAGAGACGATGCCCAGAGGAGTTGTCTCGATCATGGAAGTAGGTAGCACACAAAAGAAGTGCCCCTCTTGGAGCGCTCTTACGACACTCTTGGGCGCTCTTGGGGCTGTTTTGGGGTTTTCTCGGGCCTCTCTTGCGTCTTGGGGGCCTCTTGGCGGTCCCGGGGGCTTCTTGGAGCGTTCCGGGTGCTTCCGGGAGCCTCGTGGGACCTCTTGGGTGTCTCTTGGGGGCCTCTTGGAGACCTCGGCGAGGCTCTTGGGTCCTCTTGCGGGTTTCTTAGGAGCCTGTTAGAGGCCTCTCGGGGCCTCCTTAGCGCCTCTTGGGGCCCTCTTGGGGTGCTGTTGGGAGCCGTTGGGACGCTTTGGAGCCATCTTGGAGGACATGGATCAAAGAAGCTGGAGGCGGAAATTCGCGTCGCCCTTCTAGAGTGCCTAAGACGCCTCTCGGGCCCCTCTTGAGGCGGTCTTGGAGCGTTCTTAAGTGCTCTTGGGTCCGTCTTGGGGCTCGCTTTGGCCTCTCTCGGGGCCCTCTTGGGCCATCTGGGAGCAATCTTGAGGTTTCGGATGGCCATCGGAGGCGAAAATGCGAGAAATCAACCCACCGCTGATTGGTCTTAGGTTTTTGAAGGATTTGGGCATGTCGGCGGCTTCCTTTGGGAGGCTCCGTGGCCACTTGGAGCCGTCTTCGAGTTGTCTCGGGGCCGCATACAGCATTTTGGAAACCATATTGAGCCACCTCGGGCCATCTGGAGCCATCTTGGAGGTTATCTTGGGCTCTCAGAAGCCCTCTTGGAGCCATATTGGGCCATGTTGGAAGCTCGGAGGAGGAGGAGGGGGAGAAGGAGGAAGGGAGCAGGAGGAAAAGGAGGAAGGGATGAGGAGTAAGGTACTTAAAGGAAGAAGGGAGGAGGAACATCAAGGGATGAGGAGGAAAAAGGGATGAGGAGAAAGATGGGAGGAGGAGGAGGAGGAGGAGGAGGAGGAGGAGGAGGAGGAGGAGGAGGAGGAGGAGGAGGAGGAGGAAGAAGAGAGGAGGAGGGAACAGGAAGGACGACGAAAAACGGAGGGGGAGGAAGAAGGGTGTAGGAGGAAGAAGGGAGAAGGAGGACCAAGGGAGGAGGAGGAAGAAGGGAGGAGGAGGATGAATGGAGGAGGAGGAACCGGGGAGGATGAGGAACAAGAGAGGAGGTGGAGAAAGGAGAAAGGCGGGATGCTGAGGAGAAGGAGGAAGAAGAGGAGGAGGAGGAGGAGGAAGAGGAAGAGCAAGAGGAGGACGATGAAGAGGAGGAGGATGAGGTGGAGGGAGGAGGCGGATGAGGATGAGGATGAGGAGGAGGAGGATAATAATGGGATGATGATACTGATGATGATGATGCTGATGTTGATGCTGATGAGGATGAGGATGAGGATGAGGATGAGGATGAGGATGAGGATGAGGATGATGATGAGGATGATGATGATGATGGTGATGCTGCTGATGATGATGATGATGATGATGATGATGATGACGATGATGATGATGATGATGATGCTGATGCTGATGATGACGATGATGATGATGATGATGATGATGATGATGATGATGATGATGATGATGATGATGATGATGATGATGATGATGATGATGATGATGATGACGGTGATGATGATGGTGGTGGTGTTGGTGGAGGAGCAGGAGGAAGAGGAGAAGGAGAAGGAGGAGGAGAAGGAGGACGAGAAGGAGGAGGAGAAGGAGGAGGAGAAGGAGGAGGAGAAGATCAGGGCAGGGCAGGGGGGACGGGGGAGGCGGACGGGGAGGGGTAAGGGGGAGGAGGAGGACAAGGAGGTGGAGGAAGGGGAGGAGGAGGAGGAGGAGGAGGAGGAGGAGGAGGAGGAGGAGAGGAGGAGAGGAGGAGGGAGAGGAGGAGGAGGAGGAGGAGGACGAGGAGGAGGAGGAGGAGGAGGATGAGCAGGAGGAGGAGGAGGAGGAGGAGGAGGAGGAGGAGGGAGGAGGAGGAGGAGGAGGAGGAGGCAGACAGGAGAGGAGGAGGAGGGAGGAGGAGGAGGAGGAGGAGAGGAGGAGGAGGAGGAGGAGGAGGAGGGAGGAGGAGGAGGAGCAGGAGGGCAGGAGGGCAGGATGAGGAGGAAGACAGGGAGGAAAAAGAGGAGGAGGAAAGTGGAGGAGGAGGAGGAGGAACAGGAAGAGGAGAGGAGGGAGAAGGAGGAGAGGAGGAGAGGAGGAGGAGGAAGCGGAGGAGGCGGAAGGAGGAGGAGGAGGAGGGGGGGGAGGAGGAAGAGGAGGAGGGGGGGAGGAGGATGAGGAGAAGGAGGAGGAGGAGGAAGAGGTGGAGGGGTTGGGATGGGGATGGGGAAAATGGGATAGGGGGAGGGGGGGAGAAGCGGAGGGTGAGGGGGAGAGGAAGAGAGGGGAGAGGGGAGAGGGGAGGAATGAGGGGGGATGGGGTAAAGTGGAGGAGGATGGGGGGAGGACGACGGGAGGATAATGATGATGAGACGGAGGAGGAGGAGGAAGAGGCGGAGACGGAGGCGGAAGCGGAGGAGGAGGAGGAGAAAGATGAGGAGGAGGATGAGGAGGAGGAGCAGGAGGAGGAGGAGGAGGAGGAACAGGTTGAGGCGGAGGAGGGGGAGGGGGAGAAGGAGGAGGACGAGGAGGAGAGAGGAGGAGGGGTGAGGAGGAGGAGGTAGGAGGGGGAGGGAGGAGGAGGGAGGTAACCTGTTTCCTGTGGCATAGCAGTTGATGGCAACCAGCGAATATTTCGAATACGCATGACACCACTAATGCGACTTATCTTATTCAAGCGACAAAGAAGAACACGACTTATACATATCATTAGTGAGCATCATCAGATTAAGTCATAATCATATGACGAATCCAAATTTCACGGCGACTAATAAGACTACCACGAGGAACCATACGATCATTGCACAGAACTATAAGTACACATAAGCATATTATGCATACTACGCAGGCGGAGCATTATAGCATAATGACAACACAAGCAAGGCGACGAATGATGATACACATCATCAGACGATACTGCAACACAGCAGCACCAACGCATACTAATACTACGATTGAGAAGCAGGCGAAGAAGAAGTCGCATTCCAATCACACTAGAATGGGAGGAGGAGGAGGAGGAGGAGGAGGAGGAGGAGGAGGAGGAGGAGGAGGATGAGGAGGAGGGAGGGAGGAGGAGGAGGAGGAGGAGGAGGAGGAGAAGGAAGGAGAGGAGGAGGAGGAGGAGGAGGAGGAGGAGGAGGAGGAGGAGGAGGAGGAGGAGGGGAGGAGGAGGAGGAGGAGGAGGAGGAGGAGGCGGAGGCGGAGGCGGAGGAGGAGGAGGAGGAAAAGGAGGCGGAGGAGGAGGAGGAGGAGGCGGAGGCGGAGGCGGAGGCGGAGGCGGAGGCGGAGGCGGAGGCGGAGGCGGAGGAGGAGGAGGAAGAGGAGGAAGAGGAGGAACAATAACAATCATAACAATAATATGACATAAGAAGTTGAAGAAGAAGAGGAGTAATACTAAGAGGAAGTATAATACTATTAATAATATTAACACTAATAGCACTAATAATACTGATAATAATAGTAATAATAATACTTAGAGAAAGAATAATACTAATAACATAAATAATGATATTATTAATACGAATAAGAATAATAATAATAATAATAATAATAATACTAATAATAATAATAATAATAAGCAGAATATTAATAATACTACTAATACTAATAATAATAATAATAATAATAATAATACGAATGGCAATAATAATAAGAATAAGAAGAAGAAGAAGAAGAGGAATACTAATAAGAAGAGGAGGAGGAGGAGGAGGAGGAGGAGGAGGAGGAGGAGGAGGAGGCGAGGAGGAAGAGGAGGTGGAGGAGGAGGTGGAAAAGGAGGATGAGGAGGAGGAGGAGGAGCGCCACCAGCAGCAGCAGCACCAGCAGCACCAGCAGCAGCAGGCTACAGAAGGAGTAGGCCCTACGCCTTTGCGCCCGCGGAGCCGGCCGCGGCGGCCCCGCAGAGCGCCCCCGCGCCTGCGCGGGGTGGCGCCCGCCCGCGGCCGAGCCCGCGCGCGACGGCGGGGGCGCCCCTCCGGAGGACGACCCCCCCCTCGGAGGGTGCCGATTCGGAGGCTGGCGGCGCTGCCCGCGGGCGATGTGTCGCCCCCCACCTCGGGTTTTGCCACGACATCACGGGTTTGTCCCACAGCCCCAATGTAAGTGTTTTGTGTCGGTCGACGTGCGAACGGCGGCCCACGGGGTCAGGTTTTTGTGTCTGCAGTAGCCAATTTTTCGGCGCCGCGTCGCGGGAAACACTTGCGCTTGATTTCGAAGGGGGGTGCAGGAGTGCCTCTGGCCCCCAGGTTCCGCGGCGAAACCAGGGAGGAAGTGAGAATGGGCGGGCCTGCTCAGAAGGATCGGCAAGCTTCGGGCCTTCCGAGAAGGTTTCTAAGCCTTCCCCGAAGGCGCTGGAAACTTGACAGAAGGCCAGAAGGGGTTCTGAGAGGCCCCGCCGCCTTCTGAGAAGGCATCCTCCTTCTCACTTTCCCCTCTGGCTCTCCACCGACAAATGCCCCCAGGATTTCCGCGCAGGCCAAGACGGCCTCCAGGGCCCCCCTCACGAGGCCTAGGGGGCCCCTGGGGCTCCAAATTATCGTGGCGAATGACCCAACCATCTGCAATTCTGAATACCGCAAGGCAGGTGGGACGAAGGAGGTGAAGCTTGTATAGGGGGCCAGGAGACGTGTGAGGGGTTTGCCGACATGGTCGGGGGGGGTGCATGTGGACAATGCCGTCGAGGCCTTCGGTGGAGCTCCCTTGAGGCAGGCCACGAAACGCGCGAGAGTGTGCCAACGTGGGCGGGGGAGACGCATGTGATCACAACCGCCAGGGTTTTCTGTAGAGCTCTCTAGTGTGCCACGAGACGATGTCCTGGGTTGCGCGGACGCATGTGTGCGCACGTGGTCACAGCCGTTGGGGCCATCGGTGGAGCTCCCCATGTTGCCACGAAGCGCTGTACTGGGTGGCGCGGACGCATTTGGTCACAGCCACTTGGGTCTTCGGTGGGGCTTCCCATGGGGTCAGGCATCGCTGTCATGGGTGGCGCGGACGCATGTAGTCGCAGCCATTGGGGCCTGCGGTGAAGCTCCCCATTGGGCCCTGGAGCGCTGTACTGGGTGTCGCGGACGCATGTGGTCTCAACCACTGGGGCTGACGGTGAAGCTCCCTATGGGGCCTCGAAGCGTTGTACTGGGCAGCGCGGACGCATGTGGTCACAACCAGTGGGACCTTCGGTGGAGCTCCCTATGGGGCCACGAAGCGCTGCATTGGGTGATGCGGACGCATGTGTTCACACCCACTGGGGCCTTCGGTTGAGCTTCCTATGAGGCTACGGAACGCTGTACTGGGTGGCGCGGTCGCAGGTGGTCACAGCCAGTGGGACTTGCGGTGCAGCTCGCTATGAGGCCACGTAGCCAATTTGGCAGGCCCGTGGCCCGGACCTCTCCTTCGGCGACTGCGTTTCCGCGTCCGCCCGCGACCAAAAAAGTATCCCCACCAGCCCAACCATAATTGATTGCCAGTTTTCTTGAGGCCTCTTTGGAGGCTATCTTGAGCCATGCTCGGCTATCTTGGGCCATCGTGAGGCTGCCTTGAGGCCTCTTGGAGGTCTGTCGGAGGCTATCTTGAGCCATGCTTGGCTATCTTAGGCCATTTCAAGGCCACCTTGGGCTATCTAGGGCTCTCTTGGAGCCATCTTGGGCCAGCAAGGACGGGGTGGAGGGTCTTTGAGAGAGGCTGGGAGGCCTCTTGGGGCCATCTTGGGCCCGATGTCTCAAAAAGAGGAGGTTCCTCAATTAGGATCCCCCCCCTCCGAGTGCGGCGCTGGATCAAGTCACGTTCGCCTTCTTCCTTTATGTTAAGAAGAAGGGAACGTGACCGTGACCGTGACCGCGATCGCGATCGCGACCGCGACCGCGACCGCGACCGTCCTGCAGCGCAGGCTGGCGGGCGCGGGAAGAAGAAGGGAACGTGACCGTGACCTTGACCGTGACCGTGACCATGACCGTGACCGCGACCGTGACCGTGACCGTGACCGTGACCGTGACCGTGACCGTGACCGTGACCGTGACCGTGACCGCG